TGCCATATTTAATTCATTATTGACTTGTTTTATTAACTCGAGCCCCAAATTTTTTGCATGCAGCCCTGATTTTCCTGCATTACACAAGCGGAGCGTGTAAATGTTGTGAATGTGCAGCGTTCCAGTTCTTCCAGTGTTTGTGGAGAGCCATTTCTCCTGCTCCTGCGGCTTCATTGTGTCTCTGTGGGTTTGGTCTTTGCTTACAGTAAGAGGAACATCTGAGTGCGCTGGTTTTGTCTTTCAGCTGAAGGTCACGCAGATGTAAGCGGACCTGTGTCTGCACTGATAGCAGAAGCCCATCCACACCCCTCACCGCAGCCAATCACACGCTCCTCAGGAACATATTCTATCTGAAATCACTTCAGATAGACAAGCCTTCGTCTCTATTAGAGGCTCTTCGGCTTTTTTACTTGCTTTCAAGTGTCTCAATCGAGCGACTGTTCCTTTAAACACAATCACACTCGAAAAATAATCAGGCCTAAATTTAAGAATGATGTATTTGAATTGCATGTCAAGTTTCCATGCATTTGGATTACACAGTTTTAACATAAACTAATAAACGTAACATGATGCATTCATGCATAAATCAAACAGCTCAGGTTTTTGTAATAATACTAATAAACTCAATGCGTTTTAATTAAATAACCAGGTTTATATATTATTTATTATCAATAAATCCAGTTTGTTTCAATCTCACACATTTTATCTTCTTGAATATTGCTTGTTCCACAGCTATTTTAACCATGTTCATACTTTTAAACTGAATAAATTTAATTATTTTCATAATGAGCAATTTACCATGCATTTGGATTACACAGTTTTAACATAAACTAATAAACGTAACATGATGCATTCATGCATAAATCAAACAGCTCAGGTTTTTGTAATAATACTAATAAACTCAATGCGTTTTAATTAAATAACCAGGTTTATATATTATTTATTATCAATAAATCCAGTTTGTTTCAATCTCACACATTTTATCTTCTTGAATATTGCTTGTTCCACAGCTATTTTAACCATGTTCATACTTTTAAACTGAATGCATTTAGTTGTTTTTACAATTAACAGATTAATGCTGATTCTAAGCTATTTGGAAAAAAATGCACTTTGAAACTGTGATGATTTACATAAAATCAAATAGCTAATAATAATATTAATATATATATATATATAGAGAGAGAGAGAGAGAGATATATATATATAGAGAGAGGGAGAGAGAGAGAGAGAGAGAGAATTCAAATATTGATAAATGATATTTATAAGTAATAGTAAAATAACCCTGTTGTGTTCAGCATATTATTGTGTGTATTAAATGTCTAAACAATACCTACAAGTGAGTTAAACTGTTAATTATTTTCATAATGAGCAATTTATGCTGGATCTAAGCTATTTGAATAAATGCATTTATATGAAAACAGGATTATATCAATGTAATCAAATAGTTAATAATAATAAACTGCCATGATTTCTGAGTGCAGAAATCTGACCTGTTTCATTGATGTATGACTGACAAACATGAGTAATAAGTATATATATATATATATATATTTTTTTTTTATGTTAACACGTAATACATTAGCCAATTTAGGCCTAAATATTGATATTTGTAAGAATAGATTACTGATGGATGCATACAGGCGACAACACATCCGCTTCATAAAACACCTGCTTGAGTGTCTACTTGTGTGTGTGTTGTATTTGCATGTATATGTATGTTC